GATGAAGGAAGAGTTGACTCTGAACTGGGTTAAAAGCGTCTTGGGAGCATTTTCTTTCAACAGACGCTTACTAGCGTGGGGCTCTTATGAGTGTCATATGATGCAGATTGTTAAAGAAGCGCCTCACCAAATCAATGTCGATCAAGTCATAGTTCCTAGCGGTTGCACGAAATACGTCCAAGCACCAGACGTAAGCTGGAACAAGCCTTTCAAAGCATTAGTATCTGAACAGTATGATGCGTGGAAGGCTAGTGGTGTCCAAGAATTTACAGAGGCGGGAAACATGCGACCGCCACCGAGAAAGACCATTGTAGAATGGGTGTTGACCGCCTGGGCACGGCTTCCCACTGAGGTAATTACAAAATCATTTAAGTCCTGCGCATTAAATCTAGCCGTTGATGGCTCTCAAGATTCAGAGATCCATTGTTTCAAGAAAGGCCAACCATGCGAAGCAGGAGCAGAGCAGTTGAGGGCACAACTTTCCGTGCTTGATGAGCCGACTCTTCCAGACCCATTTCAAGCAATAACTAACTCAGACATAGAAGAGGCCGGCGATGAAAATACCATGGTGGTCAATGAGGACTCGGATGTTGACATTGAGCTATAAGAACTACCAGTACCCTTTTCCGCCACTTTGTATGTACCATATACCGTTATGGATTTGTAGACGGTTTAGACTTATCAGCGGACAGACTTAATAGTGTGCTAAAGCTCTGTCATTTAGATTATTATAATACCGTATTTAGGTTACCATGTTACAGTTATTAAAATAAATGCCTCTCTCTTTTAAATGCCCCCCCTTGGACCCTTGAAATTTAATAAACACCCCCAGCCTTTATTAGATCATTTATGGTATCCATGTCAACTGAGTGACATGGCTCCTTGTTTCAGTTGCTTGGTCCCCAAAATCAGCTTAATTTTAGCAGAAGTAACTGATGATGTTGACAATAATCAAGGCCATCTGATTCAAGATCTCAACCAGCCTTAATTACAGCCGCATCACCTGGACAAATTTGCGCGAGCCATTTACCAGAAAGGTGCAGCCTTAGGCAACTGCTGGGGCTTTGTTGATGACATGATTAGACCAATCCGCCGGCCTAGAGAAAACCAGCACGTCAGGTATAATGGCCACAAAAGAGTGCACTGCTTAAAGTTCTAGTTTGTTATGGCTCCAAATGGTATGATCACCAGTTTCTTTGGTCCTGTAGGTAAATTCATGGATACACTGTACGTATATTTTGGTTTCGTTACCTCATCACGCTATCGAAAATGCAAAGAAAGTGCTATCTGGGAAATGTGGTAACTACTGATATTGTGGGCCGAGCAAGGATGGGGATTGGGGTGCATTTTTAGAAGGGAAAGGTAGAAGTTTTGAGCTCTGCTATCAGTCTATATGTACAATTTTCTCTGGGTGGTATGGGTATTTCCAGAGTGTGGTCAACAGAGTCATGCCGACCGCTGAGGAAACAGCTCTGTTTGTTGAGTTCTAAATTTGCTAAATTCAGATTCAACTTTCAAGCATGACAATTTACCCATTGCAATTGACTGAGTTGCCATTCACAAAATAAAGTTTTATTTCTCAACTTTCTCATAGGTATATTGTGAACTAGGTAGCTTTAACTACTGTATTAGTTCATGGTTACAATGCTCTTAAAAGTTCAGGAGAAATTATATTAGGTCCCCACCATGGGGCATTTGATCGCAAAGGGTTGCCTGGGATGGGGCGTTGACAATTTAGTCAAATACAGAGAATTATAAATTGGCACTTTTTAAAAAGAAAAGCCCGCTTTATTAAATATCAAAAGGATTAACCCTGAGTAAAGAATGTAGATGTAAATTCTTTTTCTGAGATTTAACCCATTGAAAACTAGCTCATGCTCCTTCCCTGCTCCAAAAATTCCTGTTGGTCTTTCATGTGCAAGAGAATCGAGGTGAGAAGCAAGTATGGTGTAGGTCATTGGTTAAGATAAAGGGACCTAGAAGGTTTAATAGAAACCTTCCGAAGTAAGTTATTGACATATTTATAATAAAAACAGATTGTATTTTTGTTTAAAGGGATAAGCCTTCTTTCAATGAGTTTTCTCTGCAAACATCGTCATTGTGAGTTTGTCGATGTCTTCGGAGCCCAGTGTGCATTACTTTTAAAAATGTTTGAATCGATTTCAATTCACTTTGTACAATACCATGCAGTAAAGTTGACTGTTCATGAATAACAGTCAAAATCAAACTATGGCAAGGTATTTACCAAACAGGAGATGCTTTTTTCAAGCTTATGTTAATTATTTGGGTTTGTTAACAGAAGGAAAAAGACATGACTCAGCAATGTTAAGGATGTCAGGACTGCTGCATCAGCTGGAGCAGTACTCCTTTAACCAAACAGGCCATCCCTTATGCATTTATGGCGATCCAGGCTACCCTTTACATACAAGCCCCTTTTAAAAAGGTCACCTTACTGCAGATGAAGAGGCATTCAATTCCTCCATGAGCAAAGTGAGGTCATCAGTGAAGTGGATGTTTAATGACATAACATCCTATTTTGCACTTTTACCTAAAAAAGGCGACTTTTTTTAAATAACCGTAACTTCCAAGATATGACTTGAAAGTATGGCAAACTATATATCGTTGGAAAGCTTATGAGTCAAAGATGTCAAAAATTGAGATTATAATACAGGGTGGTCAAAACTGACAGCGCAGCCCCTGTCCAAACATGACATATACGGTCAATGACCACTGCACTCTTGAGAAAACATTTCTGCTGTTTAATTTAGGCTATGAAGTTTTTCTTGGCATAACATACAGTATATAGATTGCTTATTGGGATGAGCTAAGGATTTGTAAATATTTTAAATTGACATGCCACAGCACGTCACTCAAGTTTCTTGCTGAAAATTGTCAACTTGTACTGTTAACAATTTCTTTAGAAATAACCCTATGGACAATTCCTTAGCTCATCCCAAGCCACTCTTAAAGAACTTCAAGCCCTGAAAATTTCAGGTCAATAGCTTTAACCCTTCTCGAGATATCTTTTCTCAAAGGGTAAAAAAGCCCGTTTTGAGAAACAGAACATTAAACTTAGGAAACTCAATAATAAGCAACTATAGTACAATTGTAAGGTCAATAAGAGTCATAAAGCCACAATTTTGCTATTTGAAGCAAAGGAAAGTATCATCAAAAGCCTCCAGCTTCATATGTGACTCCTTCCATCTCCCGCAAGGCCTCCTCTCGACGAACTCGCACTAGCTGTTGCCCTTGGCGTCGCTTCTTCTCTTTGGCTGTTGCTTGCCTATCTGCTTTCTGCAGTCGTTTCCTGTCTTTTAAGCTAAAGGAGTGTTTGGTATGTGTGCCACCAGGAATGGCAAGTCTCTCCATGACTCTATTCCTGCTCAGAGCCCCTCCATGAAAGTGGCATACTGCAGATGCGGCGGCAAAACGAATTATTTTGACTCCATGATGCTTATGCTTGGGAGAGCGCACCCAGACCAAAGAGTTTATAGCCTCATTTGGGTTCTGGGTTGCTCCCCGTACACATCTTTCGAGGAGCTTTGAGTCACTTAGGGTCATAAATGTTGCACGTAAGAGCTCCAAAAACACCTCCGGTAAACAATCATCTCCCTTGTAAGTTGCAGTGCCTGTAGCTACATCCTGCTGCCACTTACACCAGGAAGTCTCCCCAGCAGGACAGAAGCGGTGTTGTTTGGTAGGATTGTTTAATTCAACACTGTGGTGAAGAATTGCAACAATGTTCTTCTTCATTGTATATACAGCAACATCGACCTCTCGGTCTGAGGGATTTGCTTGTTTCAACGTGTTTTGGCGGATTGCCAGACCATAATATTTTTGTAGCTGTTTGATTTTGCCCTCAGTGAGCCTCCCACGTCCACCTACTGGTTTACCATCAGCCAGTTTCCCTTTTGTCCGAGATTTAACATTCAAGAGATGCTTTCCCATTCTTTTCTGAACGTGGCCTACACAGTCCAGTTTTACAACTTTCGGCTCTCCATACACATTTTCCACGGTGTTGAAAGCTTTACTATCTCCGTCTGAAACCATCCATTTGTACCGCAGATTGTGAAGTTGAATTGACCTCTTCCAAATAACTGCAGCACCTTCGGATTCCATTGCTGGCGAACTACCAGTGAAGTTTATGTCACATTCACCAGCTGCCACATGCTCTCTTCGCCACTCTTCAAACATTTCCTCATTTCCATTGCATTGTGTTTCCTTTTTAGCACAGGTTTGACAAGCTTTGGATAACACATGGTAGTCTAGGACTTCCCCTGTGTCTACTGAAATGGCAAAGACAACCCCTGTCATGGATGTAAATCCCCGTTTTGCCCATGTGCCATCGAAACTAACAGCGGCATCAAGAATAGCAGTGCTATCTGATTCATTGTTTTCCTCTAAGATTAGTTTTCGAAGCCTTTGGCCTGCATTTCTAAGTTCTTGTTGTGCCTCATCTTCTTGTGCTTCAAGAATTTTCTCCACTTGCTTGTAATATGCAGCCTTGGCCATACAGGGCATGTTCATAATTCCACAGAAAGAGGAGAGGCCTTCATAACCACTTCCTGTTTCCATGGAATGATAAACTGCTCTTCGGTTAACATCAAATGATTTTCCCCTATTGGTTATCTTGGCAGATGTCTCCAAGGGAGTGCTTTCACTGCAATCACTGCAGTTAAAGGAAAGGCTTGACATCAGTCCAGCGCGCCTAGAAGCATTCTCCTCAAGTGTAAGATGTGCTGAACAGAAAGAAACCAGATATCAGAAATTATAATAGACCATTTCAAGGTTAGTTAACTGTGAAAAAGCATGTGTAAAGTGTACACATGCAAGCAAAGTCAAATTATTTGTCAGCTGTCATGTACAGAGGTTATATAAGAAATATGTTACCCATAATTATACACATTTATTACACTCAGAGCAGATCTCGAAAACATTACAAGATCACCACAACTCACCTCCTTCACATTTGTGTACACATGACAGTGAAGAGGAAAGAGCCTCCATATCCACAAGCCTGTATCCTTCACCGTTACATTCTGTTTCGATTTCCTCCTCGGAACTATCAGAAGACTCATCTAGCTGAAGTTTCATTTTCTTTCTTGATGCGCTTACTGGTTGATCATTCTCCTCAGCAGAAGATGACTCTTGATCAGACAATTCCTCTTTAGAAGTGCGTGGTTTCGAAGGAGCCATTTTACCGATTTCACTGTCTTCCGAAACAGTTTCTTTTCCAGATATCAAACTAACGTGCACTCCACTAAATGCTTTTCTTTTCCTCGTTTTCCTGTAACGGCTTCGTTTCTTTTTTCCAGACATTTCTCATAACAATTTTCGCTGTATGAAAAGTTCGCTGAAATCCTTGCCTTGCATACACTGTATACTGTCCCATAAGGCCATAGTGCATCTGCTACATCATGTAAGGGTCACCAAACTTACCCGGGCAACGTTTCTGGCCGTTTTAGCGATATTTGGGGGGGTTTCAAGGTAGTAAACAAGAGGAAAACAAAAAATGCGACCTACCGTTGCCATGGCAACGAGATACCCCTTTTTTATAAACGACTATTTCCTATCGAAATAGTAAGAAAATAGAAAAAAAGCAATTGCCAATGAAAAGTCAAATAGTTCAACTTGTCATTTCTGAATGAAACCAAAAAACACTTTTTTGCGTCAATTTCAGGTAGACCCCCGCCTTAAAGAAAAACCTTAAAATTGGACTTAGCCCAGTTGGTACCATGTATTCAACACGTGGTCCATTGAGAAATGCCATTACCTGTTTTTATGGCTCCAGCAGCAGTGCTTTCTTTGATTTGTAGCCACCCACTGTTAAGGAATACTTTTCAGTTTGGGTTTGCTGGTAATTAGCAAACCCAAAGTAAAGTGATGGTTCATGCAGGTTTCATTGTTTACTTTCTCTGCTCCTACTAAGGTTTCCTGTGATATCTAAACAGTTTATTTAGGACTAGAGTTAAATATAAAGCCACATGGAAGGCATATTCCTAAACATTTTGGGCAGTGCACTAGTAAATAAATAATGGCCCTTTTTACAAATGCCACACAATATCAACTACAATTTTTTGTATTTTTCGTATAACTAATAGCCACCTCCTGGCATGCATTTCTTTTTAAACATTGGCAAGTTTGGGGTCCCATATTTTCATGAGTTTGCAACAGATTTTTATGAACGTTTGCATATTTACTACATTTGGCATGATAAATCAAGCAGTGAGGCATATTTTTCCTTTGAGTAAAAAAATTTGGAATTGCGTGACATCGGTAAAAAGGTCCATAAGAAACCTTAGAAGAATTGCTTTTGTTCTGCTGTGACAGCTTTGCTTGTTTCCAGTAATTCCCATGATTATGATAAATAACTTCAGCTTCTGGAATTCTTTGAGTTGAAGATATATAATACTGTAGATGTACATGTAGATGTGTACATGTATCAGTAGTGTAGAAATATTTATCACATGAACTAATGACCAGTTCTATACTCTGCAACATGGT